AAACATCTTTATTTTTAATTTATTGATGTTTTATTACATCTTTTAATTTTATTTTTTGTCCATTAAATTAAAAAAGTTAAAAAAGAATTATTTTTTTAACCCAAATTATTTAATGCCACAACCACTTACTTTTATCTCATTTTTTGTTTCTTATCAAGTTTGCATTTCTATTTTCGATTCTCTTGACTTTTTTCGAACTCCAAACTTTCTTTTTAAAATTGCAATCTCTAAATCCCAAAATATAAATTAAAATTTAAGTTCACAATGTCTAAATTCTCATAGACATGAATTTTGTATAATTTCAAAATATTGTGATATTTTTGGGTTGGATTTAAGATTTTTTGGTAGATATAATTGAAATTGAGATGAAATTTATTTGTTTTAACTTATAATTCAAAAATAAATAATTTATTTTTAAAAATTCAAGTTATTCAAAAATAGTAAACTTTTCATCATGTAAAGTATTAAATTAGTCCATTACATGTCTTATTTTGTGCATATATATATTTATATAAATTATTTTTAAAAAAATTCATTGAACCAAGGTTAAACCAGTCCAACCGGTTGAAGCTCGACCCTTTCACTTCACCGGTTCAATTAACGGTCCGATTTTTAAAACATTGCCTCCAACATGCAAGTCGTGAAGCTCGTGAAAGTTAATGGACTCGATGACTATCCACTCAAGCCAAACCTGAGTATACTATTCTCAAGCATATTATAGGAAGTTTCAATTGTTAGTTTAATTTTTTTTAAAAAAAAAACTTTAATAGAAAAAGGGGAAATTTAATTTGTTTGGATAGTGTATTATTTGAAATAATTACTGTAGCACTTTTTGTGATGTGATGTATGTGAGATAAAAATGTGGTTGAAAATATAAAAAGGTGAGTTGAAAAATATGTCTATGATGCAAGCGAAATATTATTTAAGATAATTGGGGTATCCAAACAAACCCAATGAAACATTAATCTTTCCTGAAACCATCCGCATCTTCCTATGAGATTGTGCAAATCCAGGAAAGGATTCTTAAGAAAAAAGTTTGTTCCAATTTGCATTCGGAGAGAAATCACACACTAAAAACAAGAAAACATGTACATAATCAGCAAGTAACTCTCTTCTGAAAAAATATCCAATCAACGATCATATCTCAACCCTATTTGTTTTCTAATTTGGCAGTTGATATTTCGCTTGGTATAACATGCCATTTTCGAACTGAGCAAAAAGTATGTCAAGAAGTCCAAATAAAATGTACATTTTAGTTCTAAATCTCAGCCACGGTAATACAATTCACCTTTTCTTCAGGGGACTAGGATATCTTACTTTTGATCAATGTATCCATTAATGTTTAGAATTATCATGAATTGGAAATCCCCCCATCACTTTTGCCTTTATCAAAAGTTTTCACCGGAATATCCAACATTCATCCATCATCAAAATAAAGCAAGAAGCATAATAATGTAAAATATCTCTCACTAAACCGAATTGGCGGTACATATATTGGGTCTGTCGAATGGAATCCGCAGTTATGTGTGAGTCATTTTACAATCAATTACGTTTAATCAAAACAGATTACCGTCTCTAATAACATTCCACATAAAAAGTCAATTCACTTACTTCCACTTTTGTCTCTCTCAGAAACAAAAAAAATAATATTAGAATTTCAGATATTCATCTACGTTCTACCACCAGAGAAAAAAGGTTAGAACCTCATGTCATATATGAACAGACAAAAATACCCTCGCCTTCTCTCCAAACCCCAGATGTGCCATTTTGTCCTCAATCATCTACGAATCAACCACAAGAATCGGCGACGGAGAAAGAAGCCGAGGGCTGGACCTGAACCTCGCCGGCTGAAGCTACAGAAGCAGCCACACCAACACCAAAGTTGACAACGCCGCCATCGCCATTTCCACTCAAATTAACGTACTTCACTGTCCTCTTCTTCCGCGGTCCCCAACAGTTCGGTGAACACGTGGCCGTTTCAGAACCCCCGACGTTCAAGCCAGCAGAAACGCTGTCTTCACCGCCATCAATTTGAGCGACTTTCCGGCGCTTTCTTCGCGTCTTTTTAGGCTTCTCTGAAGCAGTTGAGACGATACTCGTTCCAATAGTGGAAATAGAGCCTTGGCCGCCGCTGTTGAGGCTTCCACCGTGGCGCTGGTGGTGGAGGTTGGCGGAGTTTAGGGTTTGCAGAGAGGTGACGCAGCACTCTTGCCATTTGAGCTCGTTAAGGTCCTTGATGACGTCATCGAGCGACAAGAAGGCGTCTGAGGAAACGTCGTCGTCCTCAAGCGTTGACCGGGAAGGATCCATTAGCTCCAGCGACTTCACAAGTTCAACCAGAAGACTCTGTTTCATTGAGGGAGAAAAACATAAAAACAAAAATTAATTGACAAAATAAATTGAAATTCGAAAAAAGAGGAGCAGGAGGAGGAGGACCCCCCCCGGGGGGGGGAGGCGCTAGAAGCTAAATTGACCTTCTGAGGGCCGCGGATATAATTGAAGCCGTGCATGTCGATGATCTAAACTAGAAAATAAGACAAGAATCAGAAAATTATCGGAACATTAGGAAATGATTAAGATAATTCAACTACTTTTGCGTCTCTGAATTTTTTAAAAATTCGAAGAAAAAAACAGACAACAATTTTTATTCTTCGTACTGAAAATTTTGAAAAGCGAATAACATTCAAGCATCAAATAATCGACTCGAAGAGCGAAGCCATTTCAGTTGTCTTTATCCATATCAAATGAGCACAAAACAGCAGCATCGGCTGATTTTTCAGAAAATACGATACAGTATAGAGAAATTTAATGCAGAAGAAGCATCAAAACTCCAAACAGATCTAATTGACCTGGTTGAGGTGGTGAACGGTGAGATCAAGCTGCTTGTGGCTGTGAATGAAGTCGAGGTATTGTTCCATCGTCAGCTTCGGCTGCTTCGGCCTGCCTCGTCGTCCACCACCGTCTCCCTCCGCCATTTTCACCACACTCTGCATTTTGTACTAGCTCACGATCCCTGCATGAGTGTGCGCGCTTTCTGTTAGGCTGGCTGCTGCAGTACTGAGCTAGCCTTATATAGGTACTGGGTGGGCTCCACAACCAGCTGGCCCGAATTTTTTGTTGCATTCTTCTCAGGCATCACATTTGAGAAGGCCAATTAATCTCGAGTTAAATACTTAAAATAAATAGATGGTTAATAGTTTAACACAAGTATGAGGTACGAACATGGTTTTTTTTTTTTTTTTTTTGGGAAATTTGTCCTCTAAAAAAATTTACGTATCAATTGATTACATACAAAGTATTCAATAATTGTTGTAGTTATTGGTTAAGAATTTTATGTTCCACCTGACATATTAGAGTTCGAACTTGACTGACAGATTTGAAGGAGAAGGTTAAAACATGCATAAATATCTCCATAACTCCAATTTGTGATATACGATTATGATTTAATGAAAGAGTTTGCATTTGAGACTTAAAGTCGTTAATGTATCGACACTCCACTTTGTATTAATGACATTTCATTTATTTTTTTTCGTGTTCTTGTACAAAAATTGCACTGAGAGATTGAATACTTTAACAAGAATTGAAGTCTCTGTGTCATAAATCATACTCTGATGAATTTAGGCTAGAAGTTTTAGTTTTGGGTGCTAACTGGCAAATTAGTTTGTGCAGTCAATGGCTAGTAAAGTGTAGATATAATGAGAGAGCTTATTTTCTAACCCTGACATATTCTTCATCTCCAAGAGGTCTCTGCACCACAAAATGAAGCAGTGGAAAGGATGAAGTCCCACCAGTCAAATTGTTGCCTCCAAGATAGAAGTCATGAAGCTCATTAGATTTTGTCAAGGGGCTCGATAAGAATTCAATCAAGCCAAGCTTCAAAATACACACTACTACTATTTCCAAGCAAGCTCGATAAGAATTTAATCCAAACTCCTTTTAGAACCAATGCAGCAAACAAGAGCAAAAGTTGGTCCATGATAACTGCACTATGAGCCTACTCACTCCTGGTTAACTGGCCAAATGTAGTTGCCCTGTATTAGGTGGAAATGAAAACTTCAATGGTTTCCCAAATATAAGATTCAAAGATCAAAACTTGTATACATTACATTTCGATTAAATTTGTCCACAGTTCATATGATTTACAGGCAAGATTTGGCCTTGTACACAGTACAAATATTGAGACCGACTAGCAGCTTATTTTACTTCTCAAAACTCAGGCGCCGCGTTTATGGACCTAAATCAAAATCAAGAAACGAAAAAGACATTAGAGGGAAAGTCACCGTCCCCAGTTCTATTTTGGCAAGACGAGGAGCAAATTCCACATTCTTTGTTAGGAAAGTCAAAGTTACATATGGCAAGGGGCCAAATCCCATGGCATGAAGAGTGGAGGGCCATTTGACAATGATGCCTTAGCAAGTGTTCCTTCTGCTGCTTGAAAGTCCTTCAACTTCGTGCTGTCTTGATGATCAACAGCAATCTTGACTTTGTCTTTCTGGGCATTATCACACTACTGTAATTATTACAATATGTGGCGGCCTTCATTGGCCATTTTCGATGGAGTCTGTACTCACATTGAGTCTCCCTCCCTCTCTCCCTTAGATTAGGCTAGATTAGGTTATAAGAATTTTACAGTTGCGACAAAAAAAAAAAATTGCAAATGCGTGGCCAGTCCGATAGGGGCTCAAGTCAAGTCAGTCTCAAATTGTGAAAGATGTGTTCTTGTGTGAGCTATTTATAACAAATTACTATGCTGTTTAACTAATGGAAATGATGTTTTAATATACACAATTGAGATGTGAATTTACGAAATTCTGTAAAAGCATTGGTACATCGCCAGTCTTTCCAGGTAAGTTGAGTCCACAGAATCAATGACAAGACAGCAGCAACCTAATTCCACAGGTCAAGTTCAATGCCAAATGATTATAGATAAGTACTATCTTGCATTGTATGGTAACATAGCACCTTGCAAATTAGTATTCTACTCCCCTCATTAACAACAAAAGGATAACTCACCACCACTTCATTCCCTTCTGCAAAGAACCACTTTTACTATATTCCATAGGAGCAAACACCAAACATAGGAATGATAACCGTTATTCTGCTGTTTTTAGCAGGGCATAGCTGGTTTGGGGCTTCTACTAATATACCATTCACCAGCAGTTCCACAGATGAGGTTGCTCTTCTTGCCTTCAAGGCAAAAATAACACATGATCCCTACAACATATTGGAAACGAACTGGAAAGAAGGAACCTCTGTTTGCAATTGGATTGGCGTTACTTGCGGCCACAAGCACCGAAGAGTGACGGCCTTGAATCTTTCCAGTACAGGGTTGAAAGGTACCATAGCAAAAGAAGTTGGGAACCTTTCCTTCCTGGTTTCCCTGGACATCAGTAATAACTATTTTCAGGGCTATATTCCGGAACAGTTGGGAAACTTAAAGCGATTACGAGGTTTGTATATGCAGCTCAATGAGCTTAGTGGTCAGATCCCTCAGACCTTTGGGTTCCTGACCAGAATTCAAGAATTGGTCCTGTATAACAACAGTCTCACTGGACCAATTCCTCCTGCAATCCTCAATCTTTCTTCTTTCCAGGTTATTGATCTGATGTACAACTTCCTCGAAGGAACTCTCCCAACAGACATCTGCAATAACCTCCCAAACATGGAAAGCTTAAATGTGTCACACAATCAACTTGGTGGACACATACCTGCCAGTTTTTCTCAATGCTCTGAAATCAAGTTTCTTGCTCTATCACACAATGAATTCACCGGTTCCATACCTGGAACGTTTGGCAACTTATCAAAGCTTGAGCAACTGTATCTTGGTTACAACAATTTGACTGGTATGAACTTAAATCTTTTTGGTACAAGTTTTGAACATCTAGAAGACAATGCCTATAATGATTTTTTCATGAAAAGCATATTTGTATTTTGATCAAGGTTTGATTCTTTCATTTTTCGTGTTTGATTCAGGTGAATTGCCTACAGCAATCTTCAATATATCCGCAATGAGGATTCTAAGAGCTCAATGTAACATGATATCGGGCAGTCTTCCCCATGATATTTGCAAGCAAAACCCCCACCTTGAAGACTTGTTACTTTTTGTGAACTTACTTGATGGCCAAATACCTTCTAGTATCTCATATTGTCAATCGCTGCAACAATTCTCTCTAGTTTACAACAATATAAGTGGAAGCATTCCATCTGAGATGGGGAACATGTCTGCACTTCAATATTTATATCTTGGCGCAAATAACTTGACAGGTTGGTTGTCAATGTCCCTATTCCAGTCTATTTTGAAAAGTTGCTTCTGCTGCGTTATCCCTCTTGAAATAAGCCGTATAAATTGTGCTACCTGAATTTACGTGTGATTTTGAGGTTGATCAACAGAAAACACAGCATCTGATTTCTCTCTGTGTTTCCTTTGTTCAGGGGAATTTCCTTTCAATACTTTTAACGTCTCTTCTTTAAGGGCTATTGGTTTGGAGAAAAACAGAATCTCGGGTAGCTTGCCCAAGGACGTGTGCTTCAGGCATCCAAACTTGGGGTATTTGGCCCTTCTGCAGAACCATTTTTATCGCCAAATCCCCTCTAGTCTTTCACATTGTAGGGCACTCTACTACATCCATTTGAGTGATAATAACTTTACAGGTACCTTTGAACCACCAGCAGTCAATCTATTTATAGTAGAATTCAAGTGGACATATAATCATACCCGATATAGCTCATAATTCATAGGTTCAATTTTGAGAATTAGTTGAATATGGACTTGGATCAAATGCCCAGGTGCTCAACCGTAATCCACACATTCATGATCAAGATTTTTTGCCTTCCATACTGTAATTGAAGCCCCTGGCTACCCCATATATGGTAAACTGCTCCAGTAGTACTAGTTGTCAACTTCTTGTAGAGAAAAACATTGGCATAATTGCAACTAAACAATAAAGATTTCAAATCATAACGTTGTGTGCAAGAAGCAAATTTATCTGGCTACCAACATTGATTCCACAGGTGGCGTACCAGCTGAATTTGGGAACCTCACAGGGCTTCAATTCCTTTATCTATCGAACAATAACTTGACAGGTACGTGATAATTCCAGATTCATATTCATGTTCACAGTGTTTCAGTAACCATTCCTTGTTGTTTTTGGCAGGGGAAATACCTTTCAACTTTTTCAATCTGTCTCTCTTAGAGGACTTTGAAGCTATGAACAACAAATTTTCTGGTAGCTTACCTCAAGATCTGTGCTATAGATTTCCAAAGCTGAAGACATTCGCCATTGAGAATAACCAATTTCATGGCCAATTCCCTTCCAGTATTCCTCAGTGCACTTCATTGGATACCCTTGACTTGGCGTCAAATTATTTCATAGGTATCAATAATGAGAACAAGTTACCACTCAATACAGCTGCTGCCTCATATTTTTTGTTGTCAAACAGATTCTATTTAAAAGATAAAGTAGAGCATTATTACAGCATTTATCCTATATATATTTAAGACATCTGATTACCTCTTATCAAAATGGATTCCAGGTACAGTACCAGGTGATATTGGGAAGAACATGTCAATGCTTCGAAATTTAGCAATTGGCTACAACAATTTCGCAGGTGTAATTCCACCTTCCATTGGGAATATGTCCAGGTTGCTGATCCTCTTCTTGAGAAGAAACAGATTTTCTGGTAAAATTCCACCAGAGCTGGGACGGCTTCCACGTTTAGAAGGAGTATTCATTCAAGAAAACCAGATTACAGGCCGAATTCCTCCAGAGTTAGGACAGTCTTCAAGTCTTGGAAGGTTACATTTTCGGTCAAACAACCTTACAGGCGAAATTCCGCCATCTATCTTTAACATCTCGACCTTGCGAGAACTTGGCCTTTCAGAAAACCAACTCTCTGGCAATCTTCCACCAATCACTTGATCTCAAACGAAACTTCCAAAAGTTGATGATTTGGGTGAATATGAACCAAACGACCTGCAAATGATTGACTCATGTTTCATCACTAGGTTAATAAAGTGCAGGCTTTTAGAAGACTTGATCCTTTAAGAAAGTTGATGCTATTGACCACCCTTATGGATGGCACATTTCCAAGTTGGATTGGCAGATTAGAGCAGCTTTTGTTTATGCTGATCATTAATTTGACAGGAATAGCTTTGCAAACGTTTGTCAATTTTCAAATAAACAAGACTAGCTTTGTTGCAGCTCAAGAAACGGGAAGAAATCGGGGGGAAATAGGCCTTGTTTCACCAATTTGAGAAATTTTTATTAGCTTAAATTTACCAGAAACGAGCTTTCTGAGCTGCTATCAGCCTGTTTGGAAATTGAGTTTTATTGAGACTTGTAAATTTGACAAAGCTAGCGAACACCCATGAACAAACTTCCCGAACTCGATAAAACCACATGATTGTCTTATTTCAAAACTACCAACACAACAATCATCGAGTCTCCTTGTCCATCAAAAGAGCACAACACGTAGAAAAATTCCACACGATAATTCAACCTCACAGGATTCCAAGACAGACTAGTGTAACATATTTTTGAAAAGCCTACTCGGTACAAACATGCATAGAAATCTAGTTGAGTGAGCCGAATGATCATTTGATTTCCTCAGCTTCCAAACTTTTGATGTCCCGGGTACCTTCAGTTGCTAGCCTGACGTAGTTCTGGCCGCACAAAATCAGCATCTGCAGTCACTGAAATGTCTACACTAGGTCTCAACTGGGCACACACTTCAATAGCTCCGTGCACAGGATCTGAGTGGAAGTTGCTGATGAGATCCCGGTTAATGGGAGAATTATCATCAACAGCCACTAGTGCCTGCTGTGTGAGAACGTAATCAAATCTGGGTGCCCACTTCCTTGATCCCAACCGTGCAGTTGTCGAACAATTGTCTACCATGAATGCTACCCCACGAGCATGCATGAAAGGATTCAAAGAATCCACAGCCTCAATCACACTCTCATTTATTATTTCTGAATAGGAGTGACCTTTCTTCCTCAGGATCTCAATCTGGTTCCCAAAAAAAAAAGAGTACTTGTTATTCCAGTCCAGAAAAAGATCATGTAGAGCATGCAAAGTTTCTTTGTTTAAATTCCGTTCATGATAAAGATCCAGACTCTTGGAAGGAAAGACGTTAACAAACAAATTTTGGAGAAATTGACGGCACACCACAACAACAAATTATGGCTAGTCGTCAAGAGTTACACATGGATATTTTTATGCCAAGAAATTGGGACCAACACTGATGAACTTCTACTGATAACTAAAACTGTGAGGGAAGAACATTCAAACATGTAGTTTACTCAGGGAACTTACCTGAGCCATCATTAATGCCACGAAGACACCAGCAGTGAAAGGGTATAAGGGACCTAAATCACCAGGTGGTCGTGCGGCACGAACCCTCTCACCTACTTTCCACATCCTTGTCTGGTCAATTTTGCCCATTGGGAAGGCAGGTAGACCATCTTTTTCCTGCATGAATTAAGAAATCCTTCAAATGTAACAATTCACGACTGCATAATAGTACATTCATGAGTAACTGTTTTCCATAATCACATGGAAGTCTTTAAAACTCTGAAAACACAAAATAACAACATAGAAGCTACTCTCAAATAAATATGGAAAAATGTTGATTACAAGATACAGTGTAACGTGAATTAGAGCATACATAAAAACGACGTCCAGCCAAAACAACACTCCGGATCTCACTTCCAGTAGCAACATCTTCATAGCATTCATATAGGATATCCATGCAGGGATAGTATGAAGCACTATAAGCAGTCTCGAAATCCTTCTTTCCTTCCTCAGTCAATGAATTGTAAACAGCCAGCATGCCCTGTGAAAGAGATCAACATCATCAATTTCAGTTTATTGTACTTGCAAAACTACTCTTTTTCCAGTTAAGTTATATTGTAAAACATTAGTGCGGAGGGAGCTGGAAAAATAACCAATACAAAATCTGAGAATGTCAAAAGGACAGGAGAACGTGAGTCGCATAGACTAACCTTTGTCGATATGGTTTTTGAAATAATTCCAGTTACACTCTCAACAGTGTTCTTGTATGCAAGATCTTCACTCATTCCATTTTCAGTATACCTTCTAAACAATGCCTCAACAAGCCCATGCACAGCCCCAAGTAAAATGCCTACAATAAAATTAATAAGTAACAGTTTGCTAACATGAAACTGACCATCGCAGAGGAGTAACTCTCACCTCTCTCCCCAAAAATGTCACTCTTGTATTCCTGTTCCAGAGTAGTGGCAAAAGTAAAAGGAGAACCAAGGGCAACCGACCATCCCAGGGCAATATCTGTAGCTCTGCCATCAATATCCTACAGATGTATTTTTTGAAACCATTAACTGTAGACACTAGAGAGCGTACATTACATCTCCACCAAAACAGACACACACAAAAAAAAGGGAGTGCATTTATGTGCGTGTGTGTGTGAATCTGTGTATATACCAGAGTGAGAGAGACAGACCTGATGAACAGCAAAACTAGAATTTATTCCGGCACCATTGATTTCTTTCCCTTGCACATATAGCCTCCTTACAGATGGACCCATCCCCTTGGGACAAACAGCTATTACACTTAAATGCTTAGGGAAATCAAGTCCCATTGATTGCAAATGACCAAGAAGGAATCCATGGGAAAGCCCAAGAATGCTATTTGGCTTCATGTGTGAAAATACTTTCTCATAGGTATCAGCCTGCAATTGCATATAAAATAAAGTTTGAGATATTCTTTCCAACCTTCAAAGTGAGGAAACAAGTAAAGCAAGTCACCTAAGCACAAGAGACAAAAGAAACCATCTAATATCCTGTCATATACTAAATAGGCTTATAGCTCAATGAAGATTGAGTCTAAATGAGTTCAATGTCAGGTTCAACAACTTTCACTTCTTAAGACTTGCAATAAATTGCCAGTCTCATTCTTCCAGTTAGGAATCAAAACAGAAATAATGTTTCAGAATTATCATTTCTGGACATCAGAAAATTCCAGGACAGAAATGATGCAGCAGATAAAAAAGGACAGATCAGACAATACAGTAACCCAACTTACAACAACAATTTACAGCAGACTGAGAAGAAAAACTTGCCAGATTATGCTACATGAATTGTGGAAATACTCCAGACAACTTTACTTCAAAAAATTAACATAAAGGAAAGCATCTTTTTGCAAAAGTCAAAATCCGAAAATACACAGCCTCAGCTAAAAGCAACTTTTTGTGCACTCTAACAAATAAGTTTATTCGGTTTTACAAAACTCTTAATCTAGTATGACATGAAAGAAACAAGAGCAGCTAAGTTACTTTGGTGTAGCTCACAAAAAGTGAAGCAACATAATGAAAATGAAGACTAGCAACTGAAAAATGGTCCCACAGATAATGTAGGCGTACAAACCTGGGCTGCATCAGAAATTAAAAGCAACACAAGATCACTCCCAGATATGGTCTCCCATATGTCTCCAAGGGTACCATTCTCCTCACTGAACCCAGCCACGCGAGCCTCATCAAGCGAACGAGAACCTTTCCTCAGGCCAATCTGGGACAAGTCAAGTAGGAGAACGATATAAGCTTCATTTCAAAAAGCTTGCAAATCAATTTGTCAAAGTCCCTAGACGCCAAAAGGAAAATAAAAGAATACAACATGTAACCTTGACAACAACATCAGACTTTGCATCAGCAAGTGAATCTCTCAAATTCTGAGCTTGAGCAGGCCCCTATAGAAATGCAACTTCAGTGAACTTCGATCTTAACAAAGCATAATGGTTCGCATAATGCCAACCAAAAAAAAACGATTTACAAGTTTCCAGAAGTATGCATCATATAAACCAATGACTATCAAGAAATTGACAGGGCATCGCAAGCATGAGATAACAATTTTTCAATGGGCAACACAGGATAAACTCTTAATCTCTCAGGTGCCAAAGTGTGGCTCATAGACTTAATTTTTCTTAAGCAAAGATGTTACTAGGGCTCATCATTGAGTCCTCAGGTAGGCGGCCTTAGGATGGCAAAGAGGCTCATTTAGTTCGCGTTTTTTAAGCAAATTAGAACCATGATTGCCTAAGCCTACTAACTCTCATAGTATGTACAGTCACTAACAAGTCAATTATTTTATTTCAAAACTCCAAATGACATTTACACCCTAAGCCCCAGGAATCTCAAAGTCTTAAATAATGATAAACAAAGGGACAGAGCAACAAGAGAACTAAAATAATCAGCATAAGGATATAAACTATATAGTTTCCAGATAATAAAAAACCTGAGAACCCCATCCGATAACTCCAATCTGCTTGATTCCCTTGAAAGCATCCGGCAGCAGCTTGAACAAATCCCTCCCTCCTCTCACAATATACTGCATTATCCAATAATATCATTAATCATCAAAAACATTTAAACAACACAAAAATCCCAGAAAAAATCGACTAAAAAGTTAAGATCTTTATAAGTATGCACCTCATCATGACCAGCAAGGTTGATTTTCTCTTTCTTGAAAACCTTAGTATCGAAATCGAGGGAAGTCTGTGGCTTCATAGCTGGGGGGACAGATATCATACGAGCGGCGAGGGCTGAGCCGCCGCCACTAGCGGCGGATGAAGAAGCGGCGGCGCGAGCACTGAGGGTTTTAAGAGAAGGACATGAGGAAGAAAGGAAACTGAGGTTGTTGAGTTGCGGTTTTAGGGTTTTTGAAGCACTGGTGGCGGTGTTGGTGGTGGAGGAGAGCGAGAAGGAAGTCGCTGTTGCTGTTGCCGCCGCCGCCGCCGCCATGCCTGGCTGCTAAGAGAGTTCTGAAGTGTGTGAGGTAAGTCTGAAAGCTGATATGTGGAGAACAGAGAGAAAGAGGGGCTGTCTCAGACCAGTTTTGCACGTTTTTATATAGCGGTGCTGCGTTGGAGCATATTGGGGTTGTTTTGTTCATTTGGAGCTAGGGGTGGCCCGATACCCGTCTCATTCACCATTTGATTGATTCGACCCGAATTTTGCGGGTCAGTCATTTTTTGATCTTTACCCGTCCTATATATAAGCGGGTATTTGATAATAGGGTATCCGTTAGATAGGGTCGGGTCAACGGGTACCTGTCCCGCCCTATTTATCATTTCATTTAAAAAAATGATTTATACCAATTTAATTTTATATTTTATATATTCATCTAAGA